AGAAACACGAGCCACCTGCCTGGGGATTTTTACATTGATTATACATTGAAATGAAGCTATCTGGGGCCAATCAGATTAAAAATATAATTAAAAAAATTTCACCCATTTCTTTGACTCCTTTTTAAATATGGCCACTAGAAAATGGTAACATATGGGAGCTAGGTGTGGTGGTAAGCACATGTATTTCCAGTCCTCTGGGAGGCTGAGGCAGGAGCATCCCAAGTTCAAGTCCACCCTGGACTACTTAACAAGACCCTATCTGAAAATATTAAAAAAAAAAAAAATTGGGGAATGGGGCCAGGGAGATAGCTCAGGAGAATAAGTGCTTGCCTGGCAAACACAGGAGCCTGAGTTCAATCCCCGGTTCCACAAAAAAAAAAAAAATTGGGGGCCAGGGATGTTGCTTGGTGGTACAGCACTTGCCTCGTAAGTGCAAGGTCCTGAGTTCGAAATCTGATTCAAAAAAATGTAAAAAGAGATGGTGATGTAGCTCAGTGCAAAGGCCCTGGATCCCCGTTAGCAAAGAAAAAAAAACAAAACAAAACACAACACAACACAACAGTGTAGCTATGGGGCTCATGTTGTGCATCTAGGGAGGTGGATGGGATAGGCTTGTTGACCCAGCGGGCGGGGGTGGGGTGGGGTGAGGAGTCCCCAGATGGAGAAGGACCCCAGGGAGAAGCCTCCTCCTGCTGATTCTTCCCTCCAGTACAGAGGCTGCGAGGGGGTCCCGGGAGCAGTCCCAGGGATAAGGGGGCCCCTGGGCCTCTGTTTTCCCTCCTTGAAATGGGGAATCACCATGGCAACCACACAGGCTGCTCCCAGGGTAGCAGGAGCTCGGCCACGTGAGGCCCCTGAGCCCAGCACTCACGGGGAACCATGGCTGTCACCGTCCCGCCCCACCCCCACCTCCCCAGGTCCTGAGCACCTGGCTCTGAAGGATGGCAGGGATCCGAGAAGGAGGAGAAAGAAAGCAGAGGACCAAGCAACAAAAACAGCCAGGAAAAAAAAAA